CACCCCAGATTCCCCATGTCCATTCAACCAGCTCCTAACCCTCTCTGCCTTCCCATCTCACCTCCAGACAGAAGCTGCCTGTTTAGTCTCTTGTATCTACTTGAGCTAAGAGGCCCACACTCCTCACGAGTATCACTTTATGTCCCACAGTCCAGTGCAATCCCTGTCTGAAGAGTTGGCCTCAGAAATTGTTTTAGTTCTGGGCTGATAGAGAATCTCGGGTCCATGCTTTCCAGGGTTTCTCCAGTCTCAGTCAGACCATTAAGTCTGGTCTTCTTACCAGAATTTGAGTTCTGCACCCCACCTTTCTGCTCTCCATCAGGGACTCTCTGTTGTGTTCCCTGTCAGGGCAGTCACTGCTGGTAGCCGGGCACCATCTAATTCTGCTGGTCTCAGGCTGATGAAGTCTGTGGTTTATGTGGCCCTTTCTGTCTCTTGGGCTAATACTTCCCTTGTGTCTTTGGTGTTATTCACTATCCTTTACTCCAGGTGGTTGGGACCGATTGATGCATCTTAGATAGCTGCTTGCAAGCTTTTAAGACCCCAGACGCCACTCACCAAAGTGGGAAGGCAGAAGCCTTTTGCATCATGTGTGAAAACATGTCTGACATACTGAATGAACATTATTGAACAATTTATTATTGAATCAATATTTTTTAAAGGAAAACTAAGTAAAAAACAGTTAAATGATAGGATGGACAATTGAAAAGAATAAGTGAGAAAGTTTGTTTTCATTAGCAAAAAGAAAGGAAACAGAAATTAAAGCATGACTGCAAATTGAAACAAAAATTCAGTACTGCTTTACTTAATAAATTGGCAAAATATTAAAATGCCAGGGCTAATGAGAGTATCGTGAGAAGACAATCTCATATCTTGCTGTTAGGAGATAATTTCATAAAAATGTTCTGGAACCTGTGAGTACGGTGCTATTAAAAAAACTATGTATAGGAGACAAAAAGGTCAACAGTTACTCTAAAGCAAAGACGAGAAGATAAGCAGGCAGAGAAACTTGTTCTTAGGTGCCGTCGAGTCAGTTCTGACTTAGCGACCCTATGCACAACAGAACAAAGCACTGCCGGGTCCTGGGCCATCCTCACGATCATTATTGTGCTTGAGCCCATTGTTTTGGCCACTGTGTCAAACCACCTGGCTATGGTTGCCCTCTTCTATGGCACCATCATTGCTGTGTATTTTAACCCTTCATCCTCCCATTCAGCTTAAAAAAACATCGCAGCTACTGTGTTGTACACGGTGGTGACCTCCACGCTGAACCCTTTCATCTACAGCCTCAGGAACAAGGACGTGAGAGGGGCCCTAAGAAAACTGATTGGCGGAAAGAGATTTTCTACCTGATGAAAGCTTCAGCGCTGAATCTCATTCCCAAGCGAAGTTCTTTTTCGCCAGTTGAGTATAAGGTAGCAGTTGTTTTGTCAAAGCTGGTCTGGAAACAAACGTCTTGCTGGGGGCACAGAGAAGGCTGTCCTTACTTATTTATTAGCAGACTGGAAGTCACCTGTAACCCTGCTGTATATGCCAAGTCATGAGACGTCTTTTTGATTACTAACTTTTGAATTATTTTACACCCAAAGTTTTCCTTTTTAGGTGGTGTGTTTGGAAAGACTCACATTGCAAGTATTTTTGAATATTGGAATCACCTGGAAGTTTTGCAAACATCCTGTTGTCCAGTCCCCAGCACTGACCAAATAAATCAGAATCTCCAGGGTCAGCCTGACACTGATAGTTTAAGGAAATTCTAGGGTGACTGTAATGTGCAGTCAGGGTCGAGAATCACTGGTCTACCTCATACTCCTTTATATGTCTTCTGTGATGGTCAATCATAAAGGTTAGGTCTCAAAAACCCTCACAAATTAGTTTTGAGACTCAGGCAAAAGAAATCTGAGAACTCAAGTGCGTAATGACCTTTCAGACAAGAAGCAGAGGCCCAGAGCACCAAGAGGTGAAGAAGCAGAGAATTGTGGAAACCGTTCATGACCATCTGGCTTTGCTGTTGGACTTCACGGGGTGGAACCAGCCAGGGTCATGTCTTTGATCAGGGAAATAAATCAATATTTGCCATTCCCTCTGCCCAGACCAACTCCCCTTGCTTTCTTCTCAGGCTAACAACTCCCTCCCTTCTCCACGCCTTCAAGAACCAAGTCAAAGTTCTCCTCCTCCTCCATGCAGCTTCCCTGACTCCCCCTTACGGGACTCATGGTTCTGTTTTTCTTTAGGTTGACGGCACATTTTACTATAATTATTTTCCTTTCACCTCTTTCTCCTGCACAAGGCTTTCCACAGATTATGAGACTCTCCTAAATACATACACTACTCACCTTGTATCTCTAGTGGCTGGTATAGTTCCTGGACCAAAGGCGACTCTCAACTTAGGGTGAAAGGAAGAAAAGAACGGATGGATGAATATTGCCTTAACTTTTATTTGAGAATGAGTTTTTAAACATAACATTTTGCTCTTCCAGAGGTAATACCTACACACTTTGGAAGACCAGTAAATCATAAACAATAAGATTAAAATAACCTGTAACCTGCCACTTAAGATAATCATAGTTAGACATTTATGAATAAGTTTACAAAAGTTGGCTGCAATCTATTCATATCGTTCTGTATTCTGATTTTCCCAGTTCCTTCTTCCCATGTCAGTAAAGATCTTAACAATGTGATTTTAAAGAATACATAATATTTCATCACATGGATGTAATATAATTTATCCATTCTCCAACTATGAACAACTTCAAGTGTCTGCTGTAAATGACACTTCTGCCACATCCTCAGGTGTAATTCTTTGTCTGCATCCCTAATTATTGCCACTGGTAATCTGTGCATTCTACTTCTCCAAGCCAGACTAAAAATTAAGGTCATTTTTTCTTTATTTCTTCAATTATTCCAACCGGATCCTATCTGCCATTTCTAGGAGGGGTCCAGTACCTCCCTCTTGGTGTCCAAGCTCTCCAGAAGCTCACTGAGTCCAAAGAAGTCAGCCAGTCCTGCTTTCCCCCACTAGGTAGAGAGGGTGTACTGAGGCTCACTGGCATGATTGCGTGAGTTTCTGGTACACAGTGTGGCTGCTGAACCTTGGTCTTGTTTAATCACCTAGAGGCCTGTCTGCTGCAGCATTGATGCCCACAGCCCACATCCCTTTTGTGACACAATATTTCTTTTTCTTACTTTTGAAAATTGTTGCTGAAAATATACACAGCAAAACATACACCAGTTCAGCAATTTCTACATGTAAAGTTCAGTGACATTGACTTTGTTCTTCAAGTTGTGCAGCCATTCTTACCCTTCTTTTCTGAATTATTTCCCACCATTAATATAAACTCACTGCCCCTCAAACTTCTCATACTCTTTCTCAATATTCATTTTAAGAAATCCTCTTCTGCTAAAATTGTCCAGGGTTTGTATTTGTTACTTGCAACTAAGAACCCTTACTGAAATATGCTGGAATGTAGCTAATCATCAGAAAAAGACTAAAACTCAGAACTAGAAAACCAGGAGAATTTTCTCCGACTAATGTCTTCTCCTCACTGCATGTTTGCTTCTTTAGCCCCTCTCTGCTCCTCAGTCCATGGGCAGTCAATGGGGCAGACAGAAGAGGGTTGACCGTTCACATTCCAGGCAAGCCACAGAGTGATATGGACTGGCTGTCCCCCAATCCCAGTTCCAAATACCCTGGTCAACTCACTTATGGAAAAAGGGGAGGGTATGTAGGATAAACATGATTGCTGGGACCCCACTACACTGCAACTATGTGGATTTGGGGCTTCCACTCTGAGAAAAGGCTAAATCATGTGGGTTGGACAGATATCCCAAAAGGGGTCTAGAGTTCATAAATAACAGCATGCTGGCCTCTCCTTGAGACAATCTCCCTTCAGACTATCCTTTATCCCAAATGGTTTTATGGGCTAAGTACAGCTATGTAATGACTTCCCAACATTCCCATCAGCAAAAATGGAAGAAACAGGTGTCGCTAATCATCTCCAAAGATGACCACACACGCGAAAGCAAGGGTTATGCAGAAAACACAGGAACAGACCCAGGTCTGAACACAGGAAGTGAGAAGAAGAGGATTCAATAACTGAATTTCCACATCTATGGACACAGAACCAGAAGAGCAAGATGATGAGGCTTGAGGTCCTAGGGAATTTTATCTGGGGTTCGTCTCCACTAAGAGAGCTCCATGTCTAATATCTTCAAGTTTTGACCCAAAAATTACATCTAAAACAGGTAATCTTTGTCACCATTGTTTGGTCTGAAGGGGCCAAAAGATAGGTGGGAAAATTACTCTCTTCTTGTCTGTAATGAGGTTCTCAGGGAATCTAGTCCCAGTGGCCATGGAGACGCCTGTAAATGACTGCTCTGTGATTCCCCCAAACATCCTTCCTACAGAGAGGACTAAGACCATGTACCCCTGCTCCTCACTTGCTCAGGACCTGCTTATATTTCCAAGACTTTCCAATCCTCACAATAAAGAGAAGTATTGGCCAGTCATGCAGATGTGAAGAAAACATAGTAACTAAAAATTAAAAGTAACTAAAAATAAAAAGAACAGAATTCCCTCCTAAGACTACAGCAAAGGGGACATCAATTTTTGTTTGTTAAGACATGAAGTTCTCCCAGATTCAGACAGCAATAGTTAGAGTCCTGCAGCCATCAGCTAGAACTTGTGATAAACCCAGTAATAATCAGCTGTTTCTCTTGTCTCTTTAGGAGCAACTTAGTAGTTGGGGATGAGAACAGGGAAATGTCAGCACAGACAGTCAGAGTTGGGCTGTGTATATGCCTGTGTAGTTTTCATTGTTAAATATACAAAATAACTGCCAGTGATTCCGGTAGGAATAGCATCAGGATTGAGTGTTGGAAATAGGGTGTATAGTTCAGATGGGCTGATTCTATCTTATCTGATTTACAAATGTGGCTCAACCTGGAGCTTAATTTCTCATATTTTAAGCATCCTTGTCTAGGTTCCTGATTTTGCTGTTGTGCATCAACTTGGGTCTGTGCCCATGAGCGGGGGAAATCAGTCAAGTGTCTCCGAGTTCCTCCGCCTGGGGCTCTCCAGGCAGCCCCAGCAGCAGCAGCTCCTCTTTGTGCTCTTCCTGAGCATGTATCTGGCCACAGTCTCGGGAAACCTGCTCATCATCCTGGCCATCAGCACAGACTCCCGCCTGCACACCCCCGTGTACTTCATCAGCAACCTGTCCTTCGTGGACGTCTGCTTCTCCTCCACCACTGTGCCCAAGGTGCTGACCAATCACGTACTTGGGAGTCAGAACATCTCCTTCTCTGGGTGTCTCACACAGCTGTATTTTCTCATTGTGTTTGCAGACATGGACAGTTTCCTCCTGGCTGTGATGGCCTATGACCGCTTTGTTGCTGTGTGCCACCCCTTACACTACACAACAAAGAAGACTCATCAGCTCGGTGCCCTGCTGGTCACTGGGTCATGGTTCATTGCCAATTTGAATGCTCTGTTGCATACCCTGCTGATGTCTAGACTCTCGTTTTGTGCAGACAATACGATCCCCCACTTCTTCTGTGATCTTACTCCTCTCCTGAAACTCTCCTGCTCTGACACACACCTCAATGAGACGATGATTCTTATTGTAGCAGGGCCAATAATAATTGCTCCATTCATTTGCATCCTCATCTCATACATCCTTATAGCTTGTGCTGTCCTGAGAGTCCCATCCACAAAGGGAACATGGAAAGCCTTCTCCACCTGTGGCTCCCACCTGGCTGTAGTTTTACTCTTCTATAGCACCATCATTGCTCTAAATTTCAACTCTTCATTCTTCCACTCAGCTGAGACAGATACCGCAGCTACTGTGATGTACACAGTGGTGACCCCCATGTTGGACCCTTTCATCTACAGCCTCAGGAACAAGGATAGGAAAGGGGCTCTAAGAAAAATGATTGCATGAATTTTTTTCTGTTCAATACTGACATGGACTCTAAATACCATAGAGGGGAACTAGTATCTAATAAAATCCTTTTTGCTTTTCCCATTGTGTGAAACCTAGCAGCTTTCCTTTGTAAGAGGTCTGCACTATTCCAAGTGCCAATGTCCTCCAGTCAAAATCCCCAGGAATACACCTCAAGCTTAATATGTTTGTTACTCATTACAACAGAGCAGAACACACTCTTTGGGGAATCCTGGGACTTCTCAATATCATGGCGTTAGAAGGACTTACAGGATTTGAAGTAGTGAGAGATGATTTCGGTGAGAATTTAAGAATCATTGCTTTGATCTGGATTAGATGTTGTCAGAAATCAGGACTAATTCTTATTGGGCATGTCAATAGCTTATCTAGACGGACAGAAGACTAGAGGGAGGCTGAAGCTGAGACTGGTAAAGAAGTAGCCATCGCTTACATCAGCCAGGATTGAGAATGTCTGTGACTTGGATCATGTTTATGTTTTTGTCTGTGGTCAAACATGACTACCGTGGTCTTCCTTTGTCTTGATCCACCATGGTCACAGAATGGCCTTGCCTGATAGTGATGTTGTGAAATTCTCTATGTTCTACAAAGGAACATGAAGGCCCACCTGTGAGTGGCCACCCAACTCCTGGGTGTCAGGCCTGCTTTTCTCTTTCTCCCAAGATAGAACTCGATATGAACACAGCTGATGGGAAGATCAGACTGGTGTTGGGGCATGAAGGGAAAGGGTTCATTTTGGCCTCCAGGAAGTCCTAATTCTGCCAGGAGTCAAGCTAGTTATTTTTATCTTCTTTTCTGAGCTTTATGTACCATACAACTTTACAGCGGGAATATGAGTAGAACCATCTTCTTCAATCCCAATGTCCAGACACGCTAACTTCAGCTTTTTTTATACTCTGTCAATGTACTCAGGTATTTGTACAGAGATAATAATTTATATCCTGGGTTTCCACTTTCATTTTATAACAAACCCTTTCTAAATTTGTACAAAGTCTGCACAATTTTATTTTACTGCCCTTATATAGTTCCATGAAGTTCCTTTAGCAAAATTTACTCACTAGAAATTTTGTTCCTGAGTTAAAGCATAACGGAAATTTACAATTTAAAGTCTGATTTGAAATTTATTTTGAAAATGATTACAGGAAATCAAAAATTGAGAAATATTTGAAACTGAACAGGATGCCCTGGATTTTCAGGAAGAAAGAAGAAAACAGGGCAGTTTCCCTTAATTTTAAAAAGATGGGTAAGATCTGGCAGAATTCAGGATCCGAAGCTGTTTCGTGTGTGTGTGTGTGTGTGTGTGTGTGTGTGTGCGCTTTAGGTGAATGTTTACAGAGCAAATTAGCTTCTCATTAAAAAATTAATACACAAATTGTTTTGTGATATTTGTTGCCAACCCTGCAATGTATCAACATTCTCCCTTTCTCAACCTCAAGTTCCCTATTTCCATTCATCCAGTTTTCCTGTCCCTTCCTGCCTTCTCATCTTTGCTTTGGAGCTGGTATGCCCACTTAGTCTCATATACGTGGTTGAACTACGCGTGTTATTGTTTGTTTTATAGGTCTGTCTAATCTTTGGCTGAAGGGTGAACTGCAAGAGTGACTTCAGTACTGAGTTAAAAGGGCATCCGGGGGCCATAATCTTGGGGTTTCTCCAGTCTGTCAGACCAGTAAGTCTCATCTTTCGTGTGTGTGTGAGTTTGAATTTTGTTCCACATTTTCCTCCCACTCTGTCTGGGACCTTCTATTGTGATCCTTATCAGAGCAATTGGTAGTGGTAGCTGAGCATCATCTAGTTGTTCTGGACTCAGTCTAGTGGAGACTATGGTAGTTGTGGTCCATTAGACCTTTGAACTAATCTTTCCCTTGTGTCTTTGGTTTTCTTCATTCTCCTTTGCTCCAGACGAGGTGGGATCAGTAGATGTATCTTAGATGGCTGCTCACAAGCTTTTAAGACTCCAGACGCTACTCACCAAAGTAGGATATAGAACATTTCTTTTAAAACTATATTTTGCCAATTGAGCTAGATGTCCTCGAATCCATGATCCCCAGCCCTCAGCCCAGTAATTCGGTCCCATAAGGAATGTGGATGTGTCTGTGAAGCTTCTATGACTTTGCCTTGGTAAAGTTGTGCTGACTTCCACATAGAGGCTGTTTCTGAGTTTACTATATGATTGTCTTTTTATATTTATCAAATTTGCTTATTAGGGTATGTTTGCCTCAAAGAATATATGAGAAATAAGAAGAGAGCTAATGACTGAGTGTTAGGGCACATCAACATTTACAACAGTGGTTCTTATCTTGGCTGACCATTGGAATCACCTGGGAGCCTTAAAATTTCATGGTGCCTGCGTCCTACATCCAAAGATTCTGATTTAATTGGTCTAGGGTGTGCTCTGGGCATCAGGATTTTTAAAAACCCTCCAGGTGATTCTAGTGTGCAGCCAAGGCCGAGAATCACTGATTTAGAGGGTCAGGAAAAGGAGAACAATTCAACAAAAAGACCAAGAAGGAGCAGCCAACGAAGTAGGCAAAAAGCCAGGAGAGACTGGTGTCTGGGAAGCCGAGTGGAGAAAGGGTTTCAGGAAGGGAGTGATCAACAATGTCAAATGCCACACAGAAATGGCATAAGACCAACTGATATTTGGATGTTGGACTTGGGAAATTGGAGATCATTGGTACCATGATGAAAGCAGTCTCAGTGGAGTGACTGAGTTGAAGATGGGACTGGACTGGATTCAAGAGAATGGAAAGAGAGGAAGAGACCCACCCAGCCAACAAAGATTAATGAAAAGCATTGCTTGTATTAACTTCATAATGTTCAATCATATTTATTCAACCGTTTGTGTTGTTTTTAATTTTTCAGTATTATAAATAATGTTTTGATATTTTCCCCTTAAACACAGAAGATAAATTGCTGGGTCAAGGGGTAATAATTTTTACAATCTTGTCACATTATAGAAGAGTGCCACTGTCATCCTTCTTTGGCCAAACTGGATATTTCCATTAAAAAGAAAAGAAAACTGCTCATTTTATATGTCTAAAATGATATCTCCTTGTTCCTTTTATTTATAATTCTGAAATTACTAGTAAGGCTCAATATTCATATTTCTCTTAGCCATTCATGTTTCTTTTTATAAAAATTGTTCATGTCTTCTTGGTATTGGATAGCTAATATTTTATTGGTTTATAAAATTCCTTGTATTCAAAATACTGTCATTATCAATCTGTGCAAGTTTCCCAATTATTATTTCCTTTTCATTTTTTAAAAACATTTTATGTTGAATTATTTTACATTGTATCATTTGTGCTATTTCTTGATAAATAAGGATTTAAAATATTTATGTAACCAAATCCATCTTTTATGATTTTTGTCATTATTCTTTAATAAGAATAAGAAAGAATTACTCCACTCAAAGGCTAGCTAAAATGGTCCATATCTTTAGCTGTTCGATGGAGGGGTTTTTTGTTGGTGGTGGTGGTTTGGGTTTTGGTTTGTAAATTTAATTCTTTAATTTTTCTAGAATTCATTTTAGCATGAGATGTGGGGTGATCATCTAAATTCCACACCCTTATGTTAATGAATTATTTCAGCGACATTTGTTAAACAATTATTCGTTTCTTCTACTATTTGTTATGCCACCATCATCATATACTAAGTTCGTACATTTACGGGGATCCATTTCTGGACTATTCTTATTAAAACATCTAGCACTTGCACCAGTACCAAACTGCGTTAATTATTGTAGCTTTTAAATATGATGTAGACATTTTTAAAAGACATTCTATTGTTAAGGTAAGCTTTCTCTTATTACTCTTTTGATTTTTCTAATACTTTTTAATCATGTTTATCCTTCTAAGTGCCATTTAGAATCCATCAATTTTCTCCCAAAAATTTCACTGTGCTTTTATTTGGAGTAGCGCTAAATCTATCAATTAAGAAGAGAAAAATGGAAAAGTTCCTGCCAATCCAGGAACATTTTATAATGTCACAACTTTTATAGTGTCAGTCTTTTGTGTGGTTGCCTTCATAAAGGTCTTGTAGCCTAATTTACTCCTAGATATTCTCAAATCCCACTCTTTCCAACCCAAAGGCCTTAGCACATGCTGTTCCCCCTACCTGGAACATTCCCAGCCCCACACCATCTCATCCTTCTGCTCTCAGTTCAAATGCAACTTCCCCAGGGGTCTCTACAGAATACTCTCCCACAACACTCTTCCTAGAATCTTTTGCCCTCCTAGCACTTGTCATCATTTGTAGCTACATACATATTTATGAGATATACTGAATTTCTGTCCTAAATGAACCCTTCCCCTGTTGAGCATAGAGAAATTCACAGAACGTCAGTATCAGACAAGGTCACTCTGTGACTATGAAAGATCAAGACAAAACAAGACCACTGTAGTCATGTCTGAACACAGAAAAAAACATAAACTGCAGAAATGACCAAACATCTCCCACCCTGGCTGATACGAGTAATGGCTGAATCCTTACCAATTACAGCTTCTGCCTCCCTCCAGGCTTCCCTCCTTCTAGATAAGATATTGACATTCCCAATAAGAATTACCCCTGATTTCTGACAACATCTAACCCAGATCAAAGCCCTGATTCCTTAAATCCTCACCAAAATCAGTTCATACTCAAATCCTATAAGACCTTTCTAACACCCTCTTACTGAGAAGTCCCACAGTTCTCTATTGTGTTCTTTCTTGTTGCAATGAGTAATAAATACAATAAACCAGAGGTGTGCTGCTGGTGGTTTGGGCAGAAGGGCATTGACAATTAGAATAGTTCAGTCATTTAATAAAACGATCTCTCTTTCCCTCTTTAACTTGAAGAGTCTGTATCAAGAGTTTCATTCTCCCAAGATAAATACATGGATGGACAACTTCTATGTTTCAGAGAATAGGAAAAATATATATAAAATATTTTATTATAAACTAGTTTCCTTTATGACATTCAGAGTCCATGTCATTATTGAATAGAAAATACTTTCATAGAAACCACTTTTCTTAGGGCCCCTTTCAAGTCCTTGGTCCTGAGGCTGTAGATGAAAGAGTTCAGCATGGGGGTCACCACTGTGTACATTACAGCAGCAACCATGTCTTTCTCAGCTGCTTGGGAGGATGAAGGGTTGAAATACACAAGCAATGATGGTGTCATAGAAGAGGGAAACCACAGCCAGACGGGAGCCACAGGTGGAGAAGGCTTTCCATGTTCCCTTTGTGGATGGGACTCACAGGACAGCACAGATAACGTAAACTTAGGAAGCCAGGATGCAAACAAATGGGGTGATCATTATCAGGGTCTCCTCAGTAAGAATCATCATCTCACTGAGGTATGTGTCAGAGCACTAGAGTCTCAGGAGAGGAGTCACATCACAGAAGAAGTGCGGGATCGTGTTGTCTGCACAGAACGGGAGGCGAGCCATCAGCAGGGTATGCAACAGAGTATTCAGACTGGCAGTGATCCATGACTCAGCAACCAGCAGGACAGAGAGCTGAGAAGTCATCTTTGTTGTATAGTGTAAGGGGTAGCACACAACAACAAACTGGTCATAGGCCATCACAGCCAGGAGGAAACTGTCCATGTCCACGAACGCAACGAGAAAATACATCTGTGTGAGACACCCAAAGAAGGAGATGGTCTGACTCACGAGTATGTGATTGGCCAGCATCTTGAGGACTATGGTGGAGGAGAAGCAGACATCCATGAAGGACAGGTTGCTGAGAAAGAAGTACATGGGGGTGTGCAGGCAGGAGTCTGTGCTGATGGCCAGGATGATGAGCAGGTTTCCCAGGACTGTGGTCATTTCCTTTCTTTTTGCTAAAGAAAAAAAACTTTTTCACTCATTCTTTTAAATTGTCCATACTATCCTTTAACTGTTTTTCTCTTAAATCGTTTTTACTTATGAGTATAAACAATAATGATTCAATAATATATTGTTAAGTAATGTTTATTGAATATGTTAGACATCTTTTTATAAATTATGCAAAATTCTTCTGCCAGTTTTTACTTGGCCTTTTGATCTTGTTAATGGTTTTTTGGATATATAAAATAATTAAATTTTTATGTAATCAC